GGTCTTTTCCATGGCATCAAGTCCCACACTGGCCATGTACATCCGAAGAGCCAGAGCCGGCAAGGACCCGCTTTCCAGCAGCAGCAAACAAAAAGCAACAGATACCCAATGGCACTCAGTAGAAGGGTTTTAGTAATTAGTATAAAAAGGTTTCCTATAAAAGAGAACTTTCATATTCAAAATGTCTAAAATGGCAGGTGCAGTGGCTCACCCCTGTAATCTCAGCACTTTGGGAGCCCAAGGCGAGAAGATGGCTTGAGGCCAAGAGTTCAAGACCAGCCAAGTAACATGGTGAGGCCCTATGTCTACAAAAAAATTTTGAAAACATTAGCAGAGTGTGGTGGGTGCCTACCTATATAGTCCCAGCTACTCAAGGGACTAAGGCAAGAAGATTGCTTGAGCCCAGGGGTTGGAGGCTGCAGTGAGTTACAATCATGCCGCCACACTCCAGCTTGGGCAACAGAGTGAAACCCAGTCTCCAAACAAAAGTCAAAAATGGCTTTAAAAATCTTAATTAGAATAATACTCAACAAAAAAACAGGTGTCAGTTAAAAAGCAACTCCTTAAATGTAAATCAAAAATAGTTTGTAACACAGCCAAAAAAGCCATTATAAGCTGCTATATAAATAGGCATTTAATGATTTTTTCAATGTTACATTATTGATCTAAGAGGCCCTCTGTTTCCGCTGAAATGAATAAGTAATTTAAGATAACATTAATAGGATTTGCAGCACATCAGAAACCCTGGGTCCTTCTTATCATTAGAATCACCATTATAAAAAATAAATTTCACATTGTCTTTCAGTGAAACATCTGCATAATTTTAGAAATCACAGCAAAAGACTAGAGACTCGTTACATCCAACACATGCAAAAAGTCACAATACCATGAATATCATTTATGCAATTTAATAAATAAATATTCAACATTTACTTATTAATGACAGATACTACCACTTGATGCACTGAAAACACAATGGTGATGGAGATGTGGTTCCTACTCTCAAAGAGTTTATAGTCTATCTGTGAAAACAATACAATAAGGTACACAAGATGCTATGAAAGCACAGAGAATGAGGCCCAATACCCTACAAAGAGAGCCAGAGAAAACAACAAAGATGCCAAGGGCAGTGGCTCATGTCTATAATCCCAGCAGTTTGGGAGGCTGAGATGGGCGGATCACTTTGAGGCCAGGAGTTTGAGACCAGCTTGGCCAACATGGCAAAACCCTGTTGCTACAAAAAATACAAAAATTAGCCAGGTGTGGTGGTGCATGCTTGTAATGCCAGCTATTTGGGAGGCGGAGGCATGAGTATCACTTGAACCCAGGAGGCGGAGGCTGCAGTGAGTTGAGGTTGTGCCGCTGCACTCTAGCCGCATCAAAAGAAGAGACCCTGTCTCAAAAAAGGAGGGAGGAGACAGGAGGGGAGGGAGGGGGAAGAAAACAATACAGAAACTCATGTTGAAGCTGAGATAAGGCAGGAAGGAGGGCAGAGCCAGGTTCATGAGGGAGGTGATGATTGCAGCTTCTTCTGGCCAAGGAAATGTCAGGGGCACAGCATGCTCAAATGGCTAAGTATTTTGTTAAGAGTTGTCTTTTGCAGGCCGGGCGCGGTGGCTCAAGCCTGTAATCCCAGCACTTTGGGAGGCCGAGGCGGGTGGATCACGAGGTCAAGAGATCGAGACCATCCTGGTCAACATGGTGAAACCCCGTCTCTACTAAAACTACGAAAAATTAGCTGGGCATGGTGGCGCGTGCCTGTAATCCCAGCTACTCAGGAGGCTGCGGCAGGAGAATTGCCTGAACCCAGGAGGCGGAGGTTGCGGTGAGCCGAGATCGCGCCATTGCACTCCAGCCTGGGTAACAAGAGCGAAACTCCGTCTCAAAAAAAAAGAGTTATCTTTTGCATAAGAAAAGAGGCTACAGGGGAAAATCAAACTTTACTAGCAAAACTGCATTTATCAAGACAACAGTGATTTACTTAATCTAGGAGGAAAAAGGGTAGAAGATCACAATTTTATGTTGGTCAATTCCCCATATTCCCTATCCTTACACACATTTATTTCCTCATGCTACAGGCATGACAGAGGACTCGGAGGCTACCAAGAGGGCCCCAACATTGCCCTCAGGAAACTAAGGCAATAAGCAATCAGACAATAGCGTGCTTAGGTGGCTGCACATGATTCTGAAATGTAGCTCCTTGATTAGTTACCATGGAATAAAATACTTAGCTTAAAAGCTACTACAGTATTTGGGCTTGGTGTGGTGGCTCACGCCTGTTATCCCAGCACTTTGGGAGGCTGAGGCGGGTAGATCACCTGAGGTCAGGAGTTCGAGGCCAGCCTGGCCAACATGGTGAAACGCTGTCTCTACAAAAAATAAAAAATCAGCCAGGTGTGGTAGCACACGCCTGTAGTCCCAGCTACTTGGGAGGCTGAGGGAAAAGAATTGCTTGAACCCAGGAGGTGGAGGTTGCAGTGAGCTGCGATTGCACTGCTGCACTCCAGCCTGAGTGACAGAGTGAGACCCCATCACTGCTCCCCAAAAAATCTACTGTTTGAAGGATCATCCAGTAGTAAGGAAGAGAACAATTATTTGACATCAGATATGGTGGTATAACAGAAATTTTTAAAGAAACTGACATCTCATACACATAAACAAGGAATCATGCTTGTATTTTCAAATACATGCTACTAACTTGTGTTTTACAGATTTCAAAGCACTCTTACACACTGTTCATGGCAAGAGAGGCCAAGCAGCTATTTTAACAATTATCTACCACTGGTCAAGCACTGATTGTGGAGTACAGGCTCTTTGCTAGAAACTTAATATCCATGATCTCATTTCATCCTCACAACAATCATGCAAAGTAACTATTATTTCCCTCTCACAAACACGGAACCTGTGGCTTGACGGGTTTACATAACCTGCCCAAAGACACGTGGCTGACAAGTTGTGGAGCCAAAGTTAGTCACTGTGTCAGTCTGTGAAACTCCTTTTATCCTGCTGCACAGCTTCAATGTCACTGAATGTGGCCAGCAAAGCAACCGAAGAGTGTACACTGAGCAGAGGAGGCTGGATTAGACTGCAGGTCAGGGCTTTCAACTCAGTCTTCTTGCAGCCATGCTGAAGCCTCACTATGACTGTCACCTCAAGTTCCCCACCCCCACTTGGAAGTTATCTTGCGCTTTCTAATAAATCAATCCGTCTGGATTCTCTCTAAACCATATAAGGATGGTGGGGAAATGGATCACAGAAAAAATTTCTATGCAAAAATTAAAATGTTTAACAAGTAACATCAATCACACCCTGCATCCACCACTATCCCTGGTGTCTGATGCTCCTGAAGTACATTACGCATTAATCTGCTGTTAAAGAACCACAGTAAAAGCTCAAAGCTATGTCAAGGTTCATTTACTTAATCTCATGGAATCCTCACAATAAGGCTAAAGTCCAAACTATTATGCTCAGTTTACAGAAATAAGAAGAAGTTTATCAAAGTTAAATAAGGCACCCAAGGTCATACAACTATAAGTGGTGTTGCAGTATGATTCCGAAAACCTAAGCTTTTCCCCTCTACAACACAATCTGGATCCCTGTGACAGTCAGATAATAAACAAAAATACCAAAATACTGTTATCTGAATTTGCCTATTTGTACAAGTTTTCATATATAATTACTCAACAGTTCTACTATCAGAATTATAGTTTTACTATGTAGCACTTTGTTAAAGTAAAAAAAAATTAAACATATCACTTAAAATTATCACATCTTTTACATTATCAAAGCAGCATTGTACTTGAAATTTATTTGAATATGTAGCTTAATTTTCACCATTTCATACATTTTCTTCAATATTTTATTCAAAACCTTTTTATCTTAAGAAAACAGAATGTTTAATGATGGTTAATATCAAAATTATTTAGGATCCAACAAGAGATGGGGTGTTCCATCTTTTTAGAACCCTATTTATTTTATTTTATTTATTTATTTTTGAGAGAGGGTCTCACTCTGTTGCTCAGGCTGCACTGCAGTGGTACAATGTAAGCTCACTGCAACCTCCGCCTCCCAGGTTCCAGCAATTCTCCTGCCTCAGCCTCCTGAGTAGCTGGGACTACTGGTGCATGCCACCATGCCCAGCTAATTTTTATATATTTAGTAGAGATGGGGGTTTCACCTTATTGGCCAGGCTGGTCTGAAACTCCCAACTTCAGATAATCCGCCCACGTTGAGCCACCATGCCCGGCCTAGAACCGTATTTTAAAAGCAAATAAAACATTAACTTTGTTTGTAAAACGAGGCTGAGTATAGTGGCTCATGCCTGTAATCCCAGCACTTTGAAAGGCCGAAGCAGGTGGATCACCTGAGGTCAGGAGTTCAAGACCAACCTGGCCAACATTGTGAAACCCCGTCTCTACTAAAAATACCAAAATCAGTAGGGTGTCATGCCGCATGCCTGCTATTCCAGCTACTCGGGAGGCTGAGGCAGGACAAGCACTTCAACCCAAGAGGCAGAGGTTGCAGTGAGCCGAGATTATGCCATTGCACTCCAGCCTGGGCAACAGAGCAAGACTTGGTCTCAAACAACAACAACAAAAAATATCTGATACAAGTTTAATGGAGTGAATAAATCTCACAGATGTATAAACAAATGGGGAAAGTACAGAGATGAACAGGTATTAATTTACTACAGGTAATTCTCATTTTCAAAGAAAATCTGCAAATCACTTTAGAAAAGGTGCAATGAGAACGGAACAGAATGGAGGTAAGTGAAAAAACACACTATGTAGCATACCTAATAAATAAAAAGATTTGTCTTATTTTCTCATCTATACATGATACTTGCTAATTATTTCATTGATTTCAGAGACAATCTCAAAAACAAACCAGGCAGCAATGCATGTAAGCTGACTGAGTTCGCAGCTTTTAAATTAAGGAGGCAGCGGGAAGGCAACCTCTCACTGCATTTAATACACAAAACAGAAATCCAAAACACTTACCAATTTGTACCTGCTCAGGCTGGCTAAGGGAAACAAATGCTGATGTGTCATCAATCCAGGATATCTGAATGTTACCTGCAATCGCAAATTTAAAGTGAACATCTGACTATGTGGAGAGCTATCTGATTTAATGTGTGTATCTTACACATTTCAGTATAGCCTATCTCTAAAAACAGAGAAGGTGCTGGTTTAAAACGTGATCAAAATTTTAGCACTACAGAGAGTTAGCCTGTTTAAAGGCTACCACAGCAGTTATTTAGGTTAAAACTTCCAGAGAGGAGACAGATCGGGGGAAAAGAAGCTATTGGAAATTTAACACAGCCCTAGGACTTGTCATCATTCAGAGCAATACCAGGATTGGAGACTTATTTTCCCATCAAGACCACTAACAAAAATCAGAGACCACTAATAAAGATCATAGGTTCAAAAACACAACTATTTCTTTATTATTATTACTTTTTGAGACAGAGTCTGACTCTGTCACCCAGGCTGGAGTACAGTGGTTCGATCTCAGCTCACTGCAACCTCTGCCTCCTGGGTTCAAGTGATCTTCCCATCCAAGTGTCCCAAGTAGCTGGGACTATAAGTGCACACCACCATGCTTACACATAATCTTACTGAAAGTAGTGTTAATACTTAATTTTGTATGTCTTAATGTTCGTTCTGACTTATTTTATTCCATTTATATTTGCATTCAGAAAATCAGGTGCAGGAGGCACTACTGTGAGTCTACTATCCTAAAATATCAATTTAAAATAAACAAGAAAAAAATAGGTCGGGCTCAGTGGCTCATGCCCTGTAATCCCACCACTTTGGGAGTACAAGGTGGGAGGATCACTTAAGCCCATCCCTATTTAGAAAACAAAAAAAGGAAAATAATAAAGAAAAATTAAAAATGGTCTCAGTTATATAAGAAGCCTACTTTGCATCTGCTTTTCAGTCTAAATATTAAAATAAAAGCACTTCAACTTCTTTTAATAAACTCTTCAAATATTTTTTAAATGGCTACATACTAAAAGATACATAAACAGTTACTAAACTTTCTTACTACTGAACATTTAGGTTTTGTGGCCTTTGCTTTATCCAAAAATTTCCAAAGAGACTAGCTTAAATACTTTGTTAAAATAAAAGGCATTGCTGTGGGTTTACAATCACAATGGTCTTCATAAACACTAATCAAGAGACTGCTCAAACAAACTTAATCACATGACCTGGTAAAAAAAAAGGAAAGAGAAGGACTGTCCTACCTTATACATGTATCACAAATCCTGATCTACTCAAACATCTGTCTGTTACTTAGATTATTCAATCTAAAGCAGAAACTGTCTCCCCTCTCATTATGAAACATACAAGCCCTCTGAGTTTGGTCTGAAAAATGATGTATTCTCAGCCAAAGCTTATCTTCCCTGGTCAATAGTAAGGGGGGTCATCATCATGGTGTTTTGCTTTCCATGAATTAATAGCTCTGTATTGTGAGGTCTATTAAAAATTTCTCAGATCATATTAGCACAAAGATAACAGTATCATAAACCAGAAAATTCAAAGAGTGACATTAAAATCTTGAATATTAACATTCTTTTATGCCCAGGCCAAAGCTGTCTTTCTACTTCTGACCACCTATATACAAAATGAACAGCAAAACCCTAAAAAGTACATCTGAACTGGTACTTACCAAAGGCACTGAAAAGCTGGTAAAGGTCGCTGGTTTTCCATTCTTTGGGGAATGTCACATGGAGAACATGATCACGTTTAGGCTGCACTACAAGACAAATTTATGATGAAATGCTGACGGGTGAAAAGTGATCAAGTAAACCAGTGGCTCTTTGATGAAACTAAGTCTAAGCTATTTTGGAGAAGTGTTATGAATTCCTCATGATTACCAAATAACTCCTAAAAGTATGCTAGGATCGGTAGGATTCTCCCATTGTAATCTAGACCTCAGGTTCTGGTACTTTACAGAACCCACAACAACTTGAACCCTATGCAAAAACATCTTCTTTTCTCATGAAGTTCCTATGAAAAACATTTACTTTTTGATTTTTATTTATTTATTTTTTGAGACAAGGTTTTGCCCTGTCACCCAGGCTAGAATGCAGTGGCACGGTAACAGCTCACTGCAGCCTTGAACTCCTGGGCCCAAGCGATCCTGCCACCTCAACCTCCTGAGCAGCTGAGGCTACACGTGCATGCCACCAAGCCTGGCTAATTTTCATATTTTTAAAATTTTATTTTTGTAGAGATAGGTTCTCGCTATTCACTATGTTGCCCAGGCTGGTCTCGAATTCCTGGCCTCAAGTGATCTTCCCACGTTGGTCTCCAAAAGTGCTAGAATTATAGGCATGAGCCAGCACACACCAGCAATGCAAATTATTTAGAAGAAAAATAAAGGCTGCTATGTTCAAGAAGTTTCACGTCATTAAACATTTAACTTTCCCATTTTAATCTACTCAGTTAAAAAAAAAAAAAAAAAAAAGCACTGTTCAAATTAAATGGACTAACTGTTAAGTAAGGCAATCCTGAGTCATAATATTGTTTTCTGATCCCAGACCTAGAATTTAACCATGCAACTCTAAGCAAGAGACGCAACCACTCTAAACACTCTGGACTATAAACTGGGAATGGCGATATTTAGCATACAGAATTCTTGTCACAATGACAGACCAAAATATCAGTCTAATATGGAGGGCAATACAATAGTATGTCCTCAAACTATCATTGCAACAATTATTATCACGAAGTATAGTTCTCCCATGTCTACATGCCAATGACATGCGTTAAGGTAAAGAAGAACAATGAAACAGAGAAAAAAGCAGATGAAAAGAAAAAGCAACGACTTCCCATAGACCTTCCACGGTTTTTAAATAAAAAAAACAAAATAAAAAGCAACCTTCTAAATTTAAATATATACATACTCAACTAACTGGAAAATAGAAATCTTACCATGTTACTGACAGCCAGCATATCTTAAAATCTATTATAAATATTTATAGAAAATGATGAAAACACTTCTGAGTGAAAATGAAATATATAGAGAAGATACGCATTTTTAAAATTCAATAAGTGAAGAGATGGCTAATGAATGCCCAAGCGTCCCATTAACTTAAGTATACTATTCCTATCCACCACAAAAATCACTGCCCAATTTTAAGTGAAAAAAGCTTTTTCTTTAATAGTATTTTCCTGTTACCCACACGCTTAAATGCACAGATGCAAAAAGAAAATACAAATTTACTTACAGTCTGGTCCTTCCAAGTTTAGATAGGGGATATCCATGACCCTCATAAGAAATAACCTACAAGAAGAAAAGACAAAAATTTTGAAGGAAACTGTAATGGACAATTTCCTTTAAAAGACAGGCATTTTGACATTTTTAAGGTTAAATGAGAAAAAAATATTTTTAAGATCGGCATTTGTTAATTTTTTTAGTAGAAGCCCCTTGATGATATTACTCTATTTGTAAAATCATTTCTATTATTATTTTTTTGAGACAAAGTCTCACTCTGCTGCCCAGGCTAGAGTGCAGTGGTGTGATCTTGGTTTACTGCAACCTCTACCTCCCCAGTTTAAGTGATTCTCCCTGCCTCAGCCTCTCGAGCAGCTGGGATTACAGGTACATGCCACCAGGCCTGGCTAATTTTTGTATTTTTAGTAGAGACGGTGTTTCACCATGTTGGCCAAGGGGGTCTTGAACTCCTGGCCTCTAGTGATCCACCTGCCTCTGCCTCCCAAAGTGCTAGGACTCCAGGCATGAGCCACCACACTTGGCATCATCATTATTATTATTATTATTACTATTATTATTATTATTATTATTGACGGAGTCTCATTCTTTTGCCAGGCTGGAGTACAGTGGCACAATCTCCACTCATTGCAACCTCTTCCTCCTGGGCTCATGGGATTCTCCTGCCTCAGCCTTCCAAATAGCTGAGACTACAGGCGTGTGTCACCATGCCTGGCTAATTTTTTGGATTTTTAGTACAGGCAAGGTTTCCCGATGTTGACCAGGCCGGTCTCCAACTCGTGACCTCAGGTGATCCACCTGCCTCAGCCTCCAAAAGTGCTGCAATTACAGGCGTGAGCCATAGCATCAGCCATGGAAAATCATTTCTAAAGCTCTGAAATTCATTTCAGAGATTTTTCTCCTGGGCAGATCATTTATCACAAATAGAAAAAAACAAACAAACAAACAAACTGGTATCTCCAAAAGTTCCTGGCACTCAGAAGCTGCTTAATGTATATTAGCTAAATGAACAAAATTAATTATCAAAGAGTAAAGGCAAAGCCCTCTGCAAAGCTGCCATGTTAGTTCAAGGAAACAGAAAGAAAATAAATATCACCCATCTTACCAATCTATGAACAAGTGTTCCTACAAATTCTAAGGGTAACCCTCACAATGGGCATTTGTAAGCTGACAATGACAGCACAGGTTTCTTTTTATTTAATAAAATGCAAAGTCGCTGGATAAATGCTAATCTCTCTGGGTAAACTGTACAGTCTGAAATAAGTGACTGTCTCAAAAGTCTGTATCATTATTATCATTTAAAACACACTGAAAGCACAGAACAAAACAATCCTTAGTACAGAAAACTATCACACTAATATAAACCACAGCAATCATTTTATGTGTATCTTCCAAAATGGGTACAAAAGCACTTAAAAAAGAGACCTCGTAAATTATAACTCTCTGTCATGCCAATTTATTTTCTTTTATTTGCAAGATTAGGATAAAACATCACGCATTTTGTTATGTATAAGATTATTTTAATGAGTTTTACTTAGATAACAATATATTGTGCATTTCTGGTAGAAACAACATTATACAGCAAATTAAAAAGGCAATCTATGTGCCCAACAAGCAATTAGTTTGGCTTCACTGATCTGCAATTAAGGAACATTAGCAGGCATTCAAAAGCCAAACAGGGCCGGGCACGGTGGCTCACGCCTGTAATCCCAGCACTTGGGGAGGCTGAGGCAGGGAGATCACCTGAGGTCAGGAGTTCAAAACCAGCATGGCTTACATGGCAAAACCCCATCTATATCAAAAATACAAAAATTAGCAGGGCATGGTGGCAGGTGCCTGTAATCCCAGCTACTCAGAAGACTGAGGCGGGAGAATTGCTTGAACCCAGGAGGTGGAGGTTGCAGTGAGCCAAGATACTGCCATTGCACTCCAGTCCGGGCGAGTGAAACTCTGCCTCAAAAAAAAAAAAAAAAAAGAAAAGAAAAAAAGCCAAGTGGGGCAGAAGCTAGTTTACAAATGGAACCATCATCATGAACAATACTGTTCTGTTAATGTCAGAAAAAAAGAACCCGTGGTACTCTGTGGTTTGAGAATTTGTTGCCTGGCCTACAATTTAATAAACCAAATGCTATGGCTAAGAAACCAAATTTATTTTTAGCTCTCCAATTTAGGCTCAAGTACACTATTCTGGTTTTGTAACCTGCTTTAACCAATTTGATCAATACTCCCTACAATGCCAGAAGACAGGAAGATACATAAAGCACCTAGCATAGTAGGTTCTCAATGAGGGCAGCTATCATTTTTTTAAAAATATTATTTTCCAGCATAAACAATACACACTGGAACTATCATTATCATAATATAATAATATAATATAATAATAAAAGTTATTCCTAGGTTGGTAAGCCAGTTAGTTAGGTAAGCTAACTAATCTCCGAATAACTTTTGTTATCGTTAGTTAGTCATGGTTCATTTTTCTTTCTTTTTTTTTTTTTTTGAGACAGAGTCTTGCTCTGTCACCAGGCACCAGGCTGGAGTACAGTGGCACAATCTCTGCTGACTGCAATCTCCGCCTCCTGGGTTCAAGCAATTCTCCTGCCTTAGCCTCTCGAGTGGCTAGGACTACAGGCATACACCACCACACTCAGCTGATTTTTTTTTTTATTTTTTAGTACAGATGGGGTTTCACCACGTTGGCCAAGATGGTCTCAATCTCTTGACCTCGTGATCCACCCGTCTTGGCCTCCCAAAGTGCTAGGATTACAGGCTCATATAATTTTCAATTGTCTGTTTAGTAAATTTACAAATAGTCTCCAATTCCAAACACAAAATTTTTTAAAAACTTAATTTTAAAAGTTAATGAAGACTGGGCGTGGTGGCTCCCACCAGCAATCCCAGCATTTCTCCAAGCCAAGGCAGGCAGATCACCTGAGTTCACGGGTTCAAGACCAGCATGGCCAACGTGGTGACACCCCACCTCTACTAAAAATACAAAAAATTAGCCAGGCTGTTTGCGGGTACCTGTAATCCCAGTTACTTGAGAGGCTAAGACAGGAGAATCACCTGAACCCAGGAGGCAGAGGATGCAGTGAGCCGAGATCACGTCATTGCACTCCAGCCTGGGCAACAGAGCAAGACTCTGTCTTGGGGGGAAAAAAAAAATTAATGAAACATAGCAGGCACCATAAAAATAAATGAGAATAACAAAAGCTGAATCAGTAAATGTTCACTGCTATACCATCATGCCATCAACTATGCCAATAATCAAAATCAACCTCAGGATTTGATTATACAGAGGTCAGTAAATTATAGTTCAAAATTTCAACATAATATTAAGCAATCAAAATAACTATGAAAATGTCAAAACATGGATAACTTGCACTAGATCTCAATTGGCTGGGAGGGAGAGAAATACAAAGTAAAATCACAAGCTTGAATTTGCAATTCCTGTATTTCTGTTTATAATTCTGTTATATTGCTAAAGTCATGACACCTCAACAACAAATTTAGAAACTTAGTGTTGTACAAATACCAAGAAGGATTATACTAACAAAGAAAAAAATGGCTCTCCCAATTTCTCTTAATATGTAGATGGTTCAAAAAAATTTTTTGAGAAATATTTTTTGTCAAGTAATGGCTATGTGAAATGTATATTTCATCTGAATTTTAAATATTATCTTTGATTAAACTAAAAAAAATTTATTCTCAGCAAAAACACTCAAAAGACATGTATTTTTTGAGATGGAGTCTCGCTCTGCCGCCCAGGCTAGAGTGCAGTAGTGAGATCTTGGCTCACTACTACCTCTGCCTCCCAGGTTCAAACCATTCTCCTGCCTCAGACTCCTGAGTAGCTGAGATTACAGGTGCCTGCCACCACACTCGGCTAATTCTTTGCATTTTTAGTAGAGATGGGGTTTTACTATGTTGGTCAGGCTGGTCTCAAACTCCTGACCTCATGATCCACCCACCTCAGCCTCCCAAAGTGCTGCGATTACAGGTGTGAGCCACTGCACACAGCCTCAAAAGGTATTTTTATTTTTATTTTTTAATATTTTTATGGGTACATAGTAGATGTATATATTTATGGGTACATGAGATGCTTGGATACACGTATGCATTGCGAAACAAGCACATCATGGAGAATGGAGTATCCATCCCCTCAACCATTTATCCTTTCAGTTACAAACAACCCAATGACATCTAAAAATGTACAATTAACTTATTACTATAGTCACTCTGTTGTGCTATAAAATAGGTCTTATTCATTCTATTTTTTGTACCCATAAAATCTATTTTTTAAAGTAGTCAATCCTATACTATCTTGTTTGCTTACTCTACATTACATAGAAACCCCTTTCAAATGAATTATTAACAGCACTTCTGACTCTTCCCCTACACCTCCACCTTCATGTCTGGGGTTTAGGGGGAACTGAATAGCCCCAAAGCTGGGAAGAACAAGAAAACCAGCTCTGTGTGACTTGGCAGGCTGCAGCTCTGGAGAGAGCCACGCAATTGTGAAACTGACTTTAAAACTGTGGCTGAGCGTCTGCGGAACTGAACCAAAGTAAACTCTCCCAACGGCCTCCCACAGTCCTTATGCCATGCTGTTTGGAAGCCACTGCTCTGGTAACATCTCTGCCCTTCTGAAGTAAAATTAAAACATTTCAATGTAGACATGCCTCATCCCAGCGGGCTGTCAAAGGGCCTGCACTGACTCCCTGGAATGATTTGATAAAATACTTCACATATGCATCATCCAACTTGACAGTTTTCATCCTAGCATATGAGGAAATGCACTAGGAAGCAGAAATCCTGATAAAGACATGAAAGAATGTTCCATCACTGTGAACTGTATTGAAGAACAATCTCTCCCAGAAGGACTTTCATCTGCAGATATCAAAAAGATACTCTAACACTTGCATGAAACGTTCTTTCTATTTTAGTGAAGATCCTAGAGGGTGTAACACGGTAAAGACCCTCAAGATTGGGTGCGGAAGTCTTGCCACATTTCTGAAAGCTTTCTGATGAAATATTATTTCCCCAGTTATTCT